AATGGATATTGAATGCCCATCCAGCTGCCATATTTAGCATTGTAGACCGCAAACTCCTACATGATCGTTCGAGAAAAATGGAGAATCACATGACGAACTCATCATACATTCATGTTTGACATCTATCATTGAACTGGGTCTGGTGTGCTCAAGATACTCTCTGACGGAAAGAATTTTGATGATGGATGTGACCACAAGATTGCAGAAAATGAAAGAGGAGTATTTGTGCAAATTATCAAATTAGCAAGTTATCGAGCTATAGCTTCAGTACTTGGTGCTGTCATGTAAAAGGATACTGACGGAGTTCACAGTTACTCCTTAGTCCCTGTGCTATCCATACTTGGCATTGTAAGTAGCTTTTTATAGTATCCGAAGATGAAGTTGTTAATAGTCCGTTAATTGTAACGGCCTATCATTCGGTAAATGATAATCCTATATCCTGAAGAAAGAGAGAGAGAGAGAGTGTGCGCGCGCACACGTGAGGGAGGGGGAAAACAAAGGAAATATACATGACGTATGTCGTTTGCCATAAGCATGCCATGTATGCTGTACATACTTTTCGCGTGCAAGTATCTATTTAAGTGTGCTACGTGTATGCGTGTACATGTCATATGTCTAGTATAATTGTATGCGTCATCTGTATAATGCATTGATTGTGCATGCACTAATGTAACATTTCATGTGCGTGCAGATACTTGTACAAGCAATATGTGAATTTCTTGTTTTCCATGAATGCACGGTAATTGTTTGAATGTGTTGTATGCCGTGAGTGTAACGTGGGTAACATTTGGTGTCTTGTTTATATTTATCTATCTTTTTTCCTTTAACTGGTAAATGAGATTTTATTGCAAGCTCCCACCCTAAGCAAAATAGATTACAAGATAACTGATCATAAACATAACAACGCAAACTGATACAGGATACAAGAGGTATGCATCATTATATCTCATGCGTACGTATTAGTCTTGAGCAGAAGTCGAAGATTTTCCATCCATCTTACACCAACAAAACAAGAGGAACTAGTCGATTTACCCCCAAAGAAAAACTTAAAATTACTTCAAGACCCAATCATCATGTTCAAACCTCTGAAACTTCTATACTGATAATTTAGCATACAATGTTCTCTATATATAATAACACAGAAACATCACCCTTAGACTCGAAAGAAAAACTCATCGGACCTGAGATTTCCCGATCTCGGGGTTATCATGACCATATTCTGCCATCCCAATGCCCGTATCATTTTGGTGCCTCACCCAGCCTCCTGTATCAGACTTGGAGTAGCTCCAGTAATATGACAGAAGTGACACCCACGAGATCAAAATCATTGCAGCTGCTGCAGCGAAAACGCCTTTACGAAGTGCTGCACATGATGTTAAGTCCTTCTTTATATAGTAGCCCACGTACTTGGTGTGGTAGGCATTTCTTACTGATCCTGCTATGAGAAGAGCCTCCGCTAAGAAAAAGCTCAGCCTGTTTGTTGTGATAAAATTAATCAATAAGCAGAGTCACAATTAAGAATGTTGACATTAGAAAGGAGTAATTTGCACTTAAATTCCTCAAAATTTAATCCATTTTTAACATTGATACCCCAATGCTCACCTCCTTAATTTGTAACTTTAATAGCCAAAGTTTGTTTGTGCCCCAAAATATCCCAAAGTTCAATAAAATTTAACTTTTATGCCCTTAACTTTAACCAAAGGTTAAACCAAAAAAAGTTTGGGGGATCAATGTTAAATTTTGTTTGAACTTTGGTGAATTTTTTGTACAAAAGAAAACTTCGGGTATCAAAGTCACGATTTTTGTTGAACTTTGGGATATTTGTTGGGCAAAAAAGCTTTGGGGAATCAAAGTTAAAAGTGACGTAAACTTGGGGGATTTAATTTAAGTGCAGATAACCCCAAGGAAAAAAACCCACAAGCTAATATCATCTGCAAGGTTTGGCACAATGGCCTACATATATGGACAGCAGCAGCGTGATCATCAATCACTATAATTATAAACGGTGAAGAATACAAGCGACACCTGAACACTCTGGAAAAAACAAAAAACCTTCCCAAACCAAAAGAAGAAAAAACATTAACATAACCGCTAGGATTCGATACAAATGATTTTTCCAGTGATACGATAAAAAAGAATTTGGCAGATGGTGAACTGAAATAAATGGGGGATATGGTCACTAACAGGCTGGGATTCAGCATATTCCTAAGTGTATCTTTCTAAGTCAAGTTATAGACCATAGTGGGAAAAATATGCAATGTGTTAAAGCCTTCAAAGAATGACACAGTAATTTTACCTTAAAACATTTGTCACTCCCTTTTCCTGGGAAAATGTATCTTGATTGTTTAGTGTTTGTATATCGTTATAAAGTTTAACCAATGAACAACTCCTACTTACTTTTTTTTAAGATAGCATCTAAAGCAAAATTTAAGGCTTTAGCGGATACTTACTGTAAATATTTATTACTGTAGGTTAAAATTTTCTAGATTTTTATGTGGCCTGAACCAGACATCTTTCTATGCGAAGTGCAAGGTGTAAAAGTCTTTGAAGAACAACACAATATTTATTCCGTAAAACACTTGTCAATCCCGTTTCTTCAGAAAAGATATATTGATTGTTTAGTGTTTGTATATCTTTGTAAAGCATAACAAATGAACAACACATATTTGATACAGTTGCATCTCAAGATTTTTATGTGGTCAAACAGAATAATAACTTCTGAGAAGATTGACCACTGACAAGACGATAGCATTTTGTCCTCTTAGGAATAAAAAGTAACTGCTACTATGGCACTTCATGCAAGTATGTAATAATTGCACTTTAAGAGTCTATATGATGTCATTGCTTCCATAATGACCGCGCAAACCAGGGCAGAAGCAGCATAACAAGCTTGGTTTGGAGGAGTACAATGCAACTGATGCCATTAAGGTTAAGGTACCCAGAAAAGCATGTATGACAATCAACCAACAGTGCGTGGTTTTGTATCTCATCAAAATTGAAGATGTTAGATGCAATATTGAGTGTTCTTAAGGTGAAGGGTGACGGATATCTTATTAGTCTGGGAGATGATGTGACTGGCTGAACAACGAAAATCTTTCAATGACCTGGCTATGCTGTACCTCTTCCACTGAGAAAAAGAAATGGATTTTCCTTTCAAAATAAAAGCTGAAAAGTCTACAGAGGAAGAGACCATACATGCTTAATATACACTATCATGAGCATGATAATCCTTTGAAGCAAAACGGGGAGAAAACAATTTGAAAAGTAGTTAATGCTGTTTTTTCAGAGGAAAGGAATCAGATAAAACCCAGTGACTACTAAACCGGATACTAACCTACTATAAGTTTTGTTCAGAAGCAAAGACATAGAAATTACCAAAGATTGATTAGGTTACACAATAATGTATGCTTCTCGAAGCATGTAGTCGTACGATCTCAAATGACAAGTAGGCATTTTGCTGTTGAATAAGTTTTTATAGTTTTGCTGTTGAATAAGTTTTTATAAGATCCTAGCACATTATTGATGTCAGAATTTACGAATGAAATGCTTGTTTATTTGCTCTTTTTCGACTCAAACCAGCTATCATATGGTTCAGAGATAATTCGAGGCATAATAAAGACAGTTGCTTCGAGATCCAGTGGTGTTTCGAAGGTAAAATATGTTGTAGAACAGAAGACTATGCAAAGAGTAAAAGGAAAGCAGTTTTGAAACTGCAAGAAGATAGTAGTATCGAGGGAGTAAGAAAACTGGAATGATTCGGTCAACATTGGTCAATCCATGAGGTTAACAACTCTAACCCTGTTTTGACATTTTATGATGGTGATGGATGAGGATTGAGAAGGTTCAACTGTTTGACACAAGTTTTCTACAGTTTCATGCAGGATAAACACTGATCAAGGAGACTGGATGCAAATTGAATCTCACTGGAGGCCACTGGTAAGCGCTGGCTGTCTTATATAGATGATTTATCCAGATGAGGTATGATGTCATCCCTAATATTAACTAGGTGCTCAGACATGGTATGGCATGGTTTATGTAGCCATTTGGTTTGTCTCCAAAGTTGGTAATGTGGTTTGGTTCTAAGTGGAATATATTGGGGTTATTTAATAGCTGGGTATGCATTAAACTTTTTAGGGTCCAGTCAAATTTGGACTTGAAGCAAACTCAGCTAACCCGACCAGGACTCCACTGCTATTCTTGAATACTCATAATCCCGATGTTTTAACCAAAGTGGAGCATAGAATAGTAATCAAGGTTGTTCAATTTAAAACTAGTAGAGTGGTCATAAATGGTTCCAGTTATAGATATTGACAATTGTACGAACCTATTCCGATGAATTGGAGCATCGTACAGATTTTGGCAGTCGTGTCTTTCATCTGGTTGGGCATCTAAGTATGTGAACAACACCATGCCAGAGGACTTTGAGTAACTAGTTGGTGGGAACTCGATTTTTTATAATTTTTTATTACAGTTGAAACTACAACTACAAGTGCAACTATATAGCGTACATCAGTTGCATCCAACTACAATTGCAACTCCTCGGGATACGGCCCCTAAGACGATCATGTTATTACCATGTGCAATAAGCACATGGAAAGAAACTAATTTGCATCAATTCGACATTGGCTCACATCAGAAATGGTTTCATGATTGTTAGGTACACCAATGCAACAAATAAAAAACATGAACAAATGTCGCTCTATCCAAAGGAAATTTGCAACTTGTACAAAAATTCTGGTACCAAAATCGGTCTCCTAACATAAGCAAAACAAGCAGTCACAATGGTGAGTTGTAGATTGCACAGATCCAGCTAATCAGGCAGGAAAACAGGGCTTTAATTAGTGTCCACTAAGCTATAACAATAAACAAAGCAATATAAAAATTATCTAAACAAACTTACTAAACTACAATGAATAAAACTGGCTATAGGCAACTTTAAAAATAAAAAAACCCCCAAATCCAGACTCACCAAGACAGCACAAAAGCCGTAATGGCGCATGCCCCTGGCCCGCCACCGGAGATCCCCCGCCGGCAGCAGAGGCACCTCGTGATGGCGTTAACCAGCGCCTGGCTCAACATCACCAGCGCAAACGCCGACAATCCGTACACCGTCGATGCATCCGTGTCGTAAACGCAGTATGTACGCTCGTCGTACTCGTCCGCCCTTACTTTCCCCTTCAAAAAACCCCCCAAATATAGAAACTTTGTCAGTCAAAACTCTTTTAGAGGTTTTTAATTAAGATTTCATAGTAGATCACACATATTATATTGAATGGTTCACGCTTATAGGGTTTTAAATGAGTTTGAAAAGAAATAGTTTGGTATATTAAACTTATTGAAACATGTCAAAGATTTTTCTTGAATTATGGCTACATCTACTAATAAATATATATTTGGTCAAAGTATCTCAATTGCAACAAATTTGTGGCTTTCAATCAGAGAAGCTGTCAAAATCGAATCTTTAGGGTTTTGGAGAGAAAAAGAGGGGAGGTTGTGCTCACCGTGCTCCGGCGTTTCTCGGCGCCGATGGCGAGAACGAAGGCCATAACTTGGAGAAAACAGACGGAGGCCACAACTGGAAGAGAGACCGCCATAGATTCTTCTCTTTCTTCCCTGAGATCGAAAGGTTTTCTACTCTGTGAATTTTTTTTTTTAATTCCTTTTTTCTTTCCTTTTCTGGGACGCTTTTTGACTGGAGAGTGACGGGAGCGGAGGTAGCGCATTTATTTTTAACGAGAAATTTGTGGGAGTTATTTTAGTTAATTAATTGATTTTTTTTTGTCGGGGTGTAATGATGAGATTCTGAGTGACAGCTGTAAATTCGGGTCGGGTCCTTATTTTATGAGGACTGAACCCGATCAGTTGTCCGTGGGAAATGATTTTTGGATCGGGTTTGGATTTGAATTGAAAAAAAAAAAAAAAACTGATTGTAGGCGAGAACGGAGAGGGGACAATTGTTGAAACATTACTTGCATGATAACATCATAATTATCATGTTATACAGCCATCAGATTTGTTTTCTATTATGAATTCTAAATGTAATCATGTAAACTTGGTAGATTAAAATAAGAAAGTGTCCAAGGAAAGAAGAGAAAACCAGCACCATGTATATGTGTAATTAGAATATATTTTGGATTTAAATTTATCTCCACTGCCGGAAAAAAATAGTGAAGGCACTACTACGTTAATTATTCCTCATGAATTGCATTCGTATCCTAATTTGTACTAAAAAGTCTGTAATTATTTACTAAATAAATTAATAGTTGTAGTATAGCAGTAGTCTCTTCAATACTTTTTGTTGAAGTTACTAATATGTGAATATTGTTTCATATTAGATAGGACGAGAAAGATTGATTAGTTTAAAATAGAAATCAAGAGTGAGCTAAAATTAATGCTTAACTTTTGGTTAAAGCTCATTAACTCTAGTTTAAGCCTGATCCTCCTTCGACCACCACCCCACACACATTTTTTTAGTACTGGAGAGGATCCAAGTTCATATATTTTGTTGCTTTTGTTTTACTCTGATTTATTCTCAAATCCGCTCACTTTCAGATTTTAATGCTTAGACCGCAAAATTGCAGCTCATTTTTCTTTTGTTCTATTGTATACATCGGAACCTTCGGTACCACTTTGTATATAGAGTATAATTATACTGCCTGCAATTGGGATAGCACGTGCGTCAAAAAAAGAAAAAACCTAATTTGTGTCGGACCTAGTTATACCAGTGACGCATGTAACTTATCGCCCGATCCGACAAGAGCCGAAATTCATGAAAGCAGATAATTGAAGAAAACTCACCAGCATCCCAAGAAGGTCGGGTCAAAATGTAGGATCGCGCATCAGTTTTCTCGGTTGTAAAGGCCCGTTGTCGAAGCAGACTAGCTAGGATAATCTACTTGCACATAATTTGATTCAAAATGGGTGATGGTGTTTAGTCATGAATCCAAACATATTTTAACCCCACACACACGCACACACACGCGTATAATATATAAAATTGATACGAGTGGATGAAGGGTCAAACAATGACGGGTTCACCCTAAACTTGGTGTGTTGGGGTTTTAGAATATGTAGATCAAGTTCAACGGAGCGGATCATCCATAATGTCGCTCAATCATGTGATTTTAGAGGCGTCAAGGAGGAAATCTCCTCCTATGACAAGGATACTCATTAATCTATATATATATATATATATATATATATATATATATATATAGTATATATATATATATATATTTGAGATTAATGGTATCCTTGTCCATAGGAGCGGGGTTTTCCTCCTATGACGCCTCTAAAATCACATATTGAGCGACATTATGGATGATCCCTCCGTTAGAAACTTGATCTACATATTCTAAAACCCCACACTACCAAGTTGGGGTGAATCCGTCGTCGTTGACCCCACGAGCCATGTGAAAAGTTCTATTCATTCAAAACTTAAATTGATTACGAGTGGATGAGAGGTCAACAGAGCGGGTTCACCCAAACTTGGTGTGTTGGAGTTTTAGAATATGTAGAAGTCACAGTTCAATGGAGGCGGACATCCACGATGTCGCTCAAAGGCTCGGATGTATTTTAGAGGTTCATAGGAGGAAATCCCCTCATTTTCTATGGACAAGGATACCCATTAATGCTCTATCATATACTATAGATACAGATTAGTGGTATATCATAGTATAGTATAATAATATATAACATTTTCGAACCATACTCAGATCTATCGCATTCTCTCTTCTTCGGCCTCGAACAGAACCAGTCAACTGATACCATGACATCTTTTTTCATACTCTTCCTCTAAACCTAAATCCTAATGGTGACTCCTGCTCTCTTTTTGCAGTCGGGCACGTGCAATCATACTTTCTCTGCTTATATTGGTTAAATTTGTAGCGGGGGCGTCGCTGGCTAGGGCTGTGTGTGGGGGGTCCTGTCTGGGTGCATGTTTCCTTCTTCTTAGGGCTGGTACCGGCATATGTATTCCGTTTATTTGAGAATACATAAAATCGTTATGTTTAACTATCATATATTTTCACAACAAAAATTAAGTTTTGTATCGTTTTTTAGACGTTGGGCCTTTTTTTTTTTTATATTTGGGCGCCGCGCAGAGGCGGGGAATAGAGACGCGAGGTAAGCGATATAAAACTTATACAATGTTGGTAGCAGGTATTGGACAAAAATGGCTTTACTTCCTGTTGATTTTGATTTTAGAATTGTTAGATTCCTAGTCTATTTTAAGTGTTTAGGTATTAGGATTCCTATCTGTTTTGGTTTTGCTTTTAGAATTTTGATTTGCTAGTCTATTTTGGTTTAGGGGTTTCTCTATATTTAGAACATTTTAGAAGGGATAATTATCAAGAGAAAAAAAATAGTCTTTTGACGCACTTTTGAGAGGGAGATTTATGTGAGGGAGCGAGAGTTTGTTGTTAAAATAAGAATTTGAGATGATGTAAACTCCATTATAAACTCCATATAGTGAAATCTAACCTCTCCCCCGTGGACGTAGACAATTGTCGAACCAAAAAAATCTCTGTGTTGTGATTGATAGTGCCGTTCTTTTGTGAAATTGCACTCGTAGTTGTTCTTCTCTCGTTGTTCGCCAAAAGAAAAACTCGTGGTGGTGTTTGGTTCTGCGCACAGCTTAAAAACAACAAATTGAAAAAAGGTATCAGACCAGGGTTTGTTTCTGGGTGGAGGAAATATCGCTAATTGAAAGTTGGATATTAGATATCTAGGTTTTTAGTGGAGATAGCTATTGCGGAACATTGCGCGTTAGACGATGCTCGGCCTTCGCTCATGTGTTGGGTGAAATAAAATCCTATCTAGGGTACAGTTGGGTAAGATTTCACAATCTAAAATTAAAAAAAAATCTTTCTTACAACTTAGAGAAAACAAGCAAAAAAAAGAAGCAACAAGGCCAAGATGAGATATCAAAAAACGAAAGTTGTACTTCAAAAGAAGATCTAGGTGTGAAGTATGAATGGAAAAGATTATATTTGGTGGTTATGGATGAGTGATGTGCAGGATTCTTTGATAATGTCAAAATTTGAAAGAGAACCATCATGGTCATAGAGGCCACTAAGAAAAAAACAAAAAAGATGAACGCTTGTGAGGTAATAAATCTTGTTTGGAACAAGCGTTAAGTGACGGATGTGACGGATTGAAAAAAGCGAGAATGATGTAGGCTGATTCTCATTAATAAATAATAAAAGAGTGTTGAGCAATCGTTGCACTTGCTGCGAATATTGTTCAAATTCAGATAGTCGCAGGGGTACCTCACTTGTGGATTTATGGAACAACTATACCAAAGTGATTGTGCAAATTTGGAAAATGTGGATGAGAAGAATCGGATTGAGTACAAAAGACGATTATTTTGTTAGGCTATTACTGCAATATGAAGATTTGATAAGATACCTAAAAAAAACACATTGTGAATGTTAGATGGCTTCCCATCACCTATAAGACAGGTCGACTAATGCATTAGAATTTGATTTGAGGAGGGAAGGAAAATAATCTTCCCAAAAAAAATACGCAGGATTTACAGAGCGCATGGTCAAGCAAGAGAGGGATCCCTATCGAGAGTTAAAAAAGCAGTTCAACAGGTCAAGAGGCCACTACTAATAGCAAAGGACTAGTGTGCTTCTAAAAAAAAGAACAAGTGACATTGGAAGAGAGATTGTCCGATAGCTTAGGAGAAAAAAAAAATATCAAGAAGAATAGCTCGAATGCCATGATGTGACATGTCATAGAGGTAAGAGATCCGACAAATTCATAGCGTTTCTGCTATTGATTATACGCTAAGAGGTTAAACCATCGCCAAGATATTGGTTGGCTTCTTTTAAGAACTCAAAAAAATGGTGGCCAGAAAGAAGAATTAAATCTTTGAGAAAAAAGTAGTAGTGGTCATAAGGAAACATCAAAAAAATCTGTGGTATTTTTAAGGTAGGACCGCAGGCATTCGATGCACGATAGAGTTTTTCATGAATTGCAATGATAGTGAGATGTTGTTCGCTCAGCTGAAGAAGAATCTATTTCTGTTGGAGCTTTGGAGCAAATGGATCAAAGTGACTTTTTGAGAGCGATGTCAGCAAAAGTTACTAAGGGGATCTTTGATAATATGACCAGGGAGTCCGCGTATGGATTTGTATTATTTAAGGACACCGAGATTAGCTAGGTAGCTCAGGCTGTTTTCAGAGGCGGACGCCGATGCAGACTATTGACATTACAGAGGGGTACACAGGTGAAAATTCACTACCAAGGCGTTATGGCAAGCGCAGGGACTATTGAAGGGAGGCCAGAGTTGGGGAAAGGTTACAATTCTGTGACATTTTGGTTTTTCGCAGAAGGACTAATGTGAAGTCGATGATCGAGTCGTTCATTAGGACAAGAGGCCTATTGGACTATGTGCATCACGGATGTTTTTGGGATCCCTAACCAATACAGCATACTGAATGGTCGACGATTGGTTCGGTCAGCGTTTGTTGATGACTATTCTAGACGTTGTTGGGTGTACACATAGACAAGAAAGAGTAAAGTTGTAAAAGAGATTATTTATAGAGTGGAAGAGGAAGATTGGAGCTACATAACAGGGGAAAGATGCAAGACGTTGACGATTCAACGATGGAGGCGGTACACTTCACCCAACCCCCTTTCAGGCAGCTATGTCGAGATGAGGGCATAGAGCCGGATTAGTGGGTATATATATATATATATATATATATAACATTTTC